TGATTGGAAATGGCTGTCTGATTTAGTTCTGGAATTAACCCAGTGGCTTAGGCCTCTAGCTGTGGAGCCAGACGTTGGGAGTTCAATTCCCCCGCTGTACCTCCTCGGGCTGGACCCGATGATCCAGGGGGTCTCCTTTCAGCTCTGTCGTTGTAAGGTTATTAAGGCTTAACTGAGACAAATGCCAGCTGTGTCCAACACAGGCTTCTGATTTTTTTTTCCCTCTAGAGGTCTATGAAGTTCTACAGGGCTCTTAGGAGAATGTTCAGGGCGTCTGACTCTGTGACTGGAGGGACCGCCTTGGCACAGCTGCCAAGCGCCTGGATGCAAAACAGTTCCCCTCACAGGTCTGAGCAGCCGAATCAAAGGTGCCAATTTATTCTGGTTCTTAGCAGGAATCCAAGTGACTTGAACATACCAAGAAGTTACTTTTGGGGGGGGGAGTGTCTCTAGGAGACAGAAAGTTTCCCTGAGCATCCAGCAGGACGAATTCCACAAACAACTTCATTAATGCACCCCAAGCCAGCTCCGAACTATAGCTGCCTTTGTACAGCAGAAGTGGGACACATTCCAGAGGGAAAAGCGGGAGACAGATGCCTGCTTCAGGCTGGGCTAATGTTTGTGGGGGGGGGGAATGTGTGCTCTTCACACAGCAGAGACAGAGAGGTACTTAGGCTGCATCCCCTTATTTGCATACCCTCATTATATGAGTGTCAATATCTTTTACGAGGCCTCCCTCATCAATGCCTGGGGATCTATGAAGTCATGAATATTCACAAGTATTCCAACTGCTCAGGAAAAGAACGTTGACAGAACAAAACGAGAGAAAAGCCAACTTGGCAAGGTGAACCACAGGCCCTGCCCGAAGAGACAGGAAGAGCCACAGACTCTTGGCACAAACGGAGAAGGAGGGGGGTGGCAGGCTGAGAAGCTGGACGGGCCAGGGCAATGTCGCCAAGGAAGGCAGGAGAGGGGAGCCTGGTGAGAAATCAAAACCTCGAGGAAGCAGGGGGAGGGGGAAAAAAACAGCAAAAGGAAGAGACACAAAGACATGGCCAGCGATCAAGAAGAGGATAATCAACAAATTCAATTCTGAAAGGGAGGCAACTGGCTGAGGAGCACGAAATTCAATTCTGAAAGGGAGGCAACTGGCCTCAGGTGCTGAGGGATTCAGAAGGCCTGGCCTGATGATCTGTAGGACCAAGCAGAGCTGTGATTAGGAGAAGGCAACGGGGCGTCAACGCAACGCAATGAAATTTAGAGGCAGAAAACAAAATGGCAGCAGGAAGGGTACAACTCTACCTCTCCTGATGCCTCCAGCACTTTTCTCCAGGCAGAAAGAAAGGTGTAGAAAACAGGGAGACCATGAACCCAAACTGCCACCAGGCACGCCTACCCAAGCCCCCCTCCCTGTAACGTCTGCTTCTTCCTTGTGTGGGCCAATGCCACACGCACCGTGCTGAACTACTCAGAAAGCAAAGCACCATGTACCATAACAGTGAGTCGTGTCTCTGGTTACAATCATTATGGTAGCATATACAGGGAGGAAAAGCCGACAACCATCATGCATGTTCAGGCTGGGTCTCTTGGAGGAAAGACCACAAACAGCTTTGTCAAGACAACCAGTGACTGCTGTACAGTGGTGACATTCAGTAGGACACCCCCCCATCTGTGGGATCAGTATCCGATGATTCATTTATCCACTGCCTGAAAATGCAAAATAAAAAATCCCAGAAATACTTATTCATACCTATTTCCAGGGTGTATTTACTAGAACTGGTTGGTAGGAAGTGCCAGAGCCCATGCAACATACAGGTCGGTTAGGCCCAATCCTGGCAAATGAGTGCAAGGGGCCAGAACGCCTGCCTCTGCCAAAGGAGGCAGCATCAGGCTTTGGCATGCAGGCAACCAAGGGTCGGAGCCAACACTTACTTCCCTGGAACATGCCACTTCCTCTGCTGAGAAGGTTCAAGGCAGGCGCTGGCAGAACACAGGGCGAAGGAGCTGCATTAATGGACACCCAGCAGAGACCATCCGAACTGCACACTGGAAGATCTCCAAACCCAGCACTCAGTGGGGGCTCTTTCTGGACAAGCGAGAGGAGTCGGGGAGCGAACAGCTGGTGCTTCCAGATCTCCTAATCTTAGGTCAACCGCATGTCTGTGGTTCCGCTCTCTCATGAGGCAGCCTTCCTGGCTTTAAATAAACACGCCACCCCTTTCCTATCTGGTGGCAGCCCACCACAGTGAGAGCACTTGGGAAGAGCATGATGTTGTGATCAGCAGCTGACAGCCTGCCCAACTGGAACACGGCTCCAAACCACGGAGAAAGGGTCTAGATGGTGGCCACCAACACAAGACCGCAACAAGGGCTGGATCCATCCAAAATGAACACTTGATCAGTTCCCACCAAGCCAGATACATCCAGCACACACACAAGCTCACTCAGTTCATGCTGGAAGGATGATGTGCTTCCCTGATAGCCTCCCATCCCTTCAGGTAAAAGGGATAAAGTGCATCCAGGTGTGTGTGTGTGTTGCATGGTTCCTCCACAAAAGACACTCTGCGCATGTAAGAGCCTCAGGAAGATGCTAGACCACTGCTTCCCACCTTGGGTCACCCAGATGTTCTTGGACTGCAACTCCCAGAATCCTTTGCCAGCACAGTGGTTGGTGAAGGCTTCTGGGAGCTGCGCTGCAAGAACATCCAAGCCGAGACCCCAGAGAAGGCAGCCTCACCCCTTCCAGGCACCTCAGAGGCTCTAAAGAGGGCCAGAGCGGGTGGCGCTCCTGCTCAAAAGCTAGCAGCCTTTGGGCCTTTACTCTGAAGCAAGTCCTACCATGTCCATGAAATTTACCCTGGGTAACCGTACACACCACAGTTTTCTTTAAATAACGAGGCCCATCAAAACAATATCATGATTTTAAAGAACAAAGCAGACCGGTTTACAAACAACCACAAAAACCTCATGCCCGCCCGACTGCTTACGCAGCCAACAGGTTGGTGCTTGGTTTGGGTACACACCAGTCACACAACTCTGCCTTGCGTACACACCAGTCACACAACTCTGCCTTGCAAACACACCAGTCACACAACTCTGCCTGCACGCTAGAAGAAAAGAGCAGAGCAGGGCTGGGACCAGGGAAGGCTGAGAAAGCCCTTAAGCGGAAGGATTCTCCGGTGGGCGACTCCATCGGAGGGCTTGCTTTTGTGCCACCTGGATCCGCGGCAAAAGCGCAGCCGGTCAGGGAACCTCCAGGGAGCCCGGTCTCAGGTTGTAAAGCCACACAAACCATCATCCCCTGACCAATGAAAGGGTCACACACAGAAATGAAGCAACCCAGCCGGGCAGGAAATTTCCCGTGGGTCCTCCCAGGGGCCATCAGGCCCCTTATGAGTCACTGACAGACAGGGGAGCCTTTAAAATCCACATTTGCACGTATACTGACACCTGAATCCTATCTAGGGCTGGTTCCCTGCTGTTGGCAGCAGAGATTATTTTCTGGTTTATTCCACATGAGAAATCTTCCATATAAAAAAAACAGATTATATTACTCAGGCAGAGAAGCATGACTACATCTTCCTCCCACTCCTTCAGCTCAACATATAAAGGGCACTGGGGGAAAATATATATTCCATAGCAAGGCAACTCTTAACATTCACACAGCCTTCCAGTCCCAAGTCCATCAACTCAGAAGGGTGGGTGAAAGTCTCAGGCCCCTTTCCCGTTCAGCGCGTGAAGATTTTATTGACAAAACTGGGTGTGTTTGCAGAGGATCTGGTCTCCTCTGATCGCTTTTTACTGCAAGGCGTTTTGAGAGCCTCAAGGAAAAAAAAACAACGTAGAACTTACATTTAATTCAGTCCATCACCTCTCCAGAGGCCAGAGAGCCACCAGACGTGTGGACTGGCAGAGCCAGAGACTCATGTGGCATGTCATGTGTTCAAATAAAAGCAAGAATTTTCTTGAGAGGGCCTCACCTCCCTGGAGGGAATCTCTGATGTTTGAAGCTGCCCCCCCCCCATGACAGATCACACACAGAATTTGGTCTACCCAAATGACATGCCTCCGTTTCCACCCTGCCTCGGCATTCTCATTGGACATGAGCAGCTTTTTAGAAGCCAGGCGGGCTTCCCTTGCATTTCTCAAAATCTGGCCTGCACTGGCTAAATCGAGAGGGCCCATCAGAAATCCATCTGGCAACCCCACTAAGATGTGTGTGGGGGGGAGGCATCTCCAGCATCCGGATGAATCCCTTCAATCCTACACCCTAGGGCATCTGTCCTCTCTTGTACTGCTTGCAATTCTCTGCTCTACTTCAGAGGAGTGTGTGAGCCCTCCTGCCCAGAGACTCTTCAGGGCCTGCACAAACTACAAACC